GGATATAAAATCAACACGCATAAATCAAAGGCATTCCTGTATATCAGCGACAAATCCTCTGAAATGGAAATGAGGACAACCACTCCATTCACAATATCCTCAAAAAAAATAAAATACTTGGGAATCAACCTAACAAAAGAGGTGAAAGACTTATACAATGAAAACTACAGAACCCTAAAGAGAGAAATAGAAGAAGATCTTAGAAGATGGAAAAATATACCCTGTTCATGGATAGGCAGATATGGTGATTTTTTTAAAATTTATTATTATTATTATTATTATTATTATTATTTTTAGTTTTTGGCGGACACAACATCTTTGTTTGTATGTGGTGCTGAGGATCGAACCCGGGCCGCACGCATGCCAGGCGAGTGCGCTACCACTTGAGCCACCTCCCCAGCCCCAGATATGGCGATATTACCAAAAGTTCTCTATAGGTTTAATGCAATGCCAATCAAAATCCCAACAGCATTTCTTGTAGAAATAGAGAAAGCAATCATGAAATTCATATGGAAAAATAAAAGACCCAGAATAGCAAAAACAATGCTAAGCAGGAAGTGTGAATCAGGCAGTATAGCGATACCAGACTTCAAACTATACTACAGAGCAATAGTAACAAAAACAGCATGGTACTGGTACCAAAACTGGCGGGTGGACCAATGGTACAGAATAGAGGACACAGAAACCAATCCACAAAACTACAACTATCTTATATTTGATAAAGGGGCTAAAAGCATGCAATGGAGGAAGGATAGCATCTTCAACAAATGGTGCTGGGAAAACTGGAAATCCATATGCAACAAAATGAAACTGAATCCCTTTCTCTCGCCATGCACAAAAGTGAATTCAAAATGGATCAAGGAGCTTGATATCAAATCAGAGACACGCCGTCTGATAGAAGAAAAAGTTGGCTACGATCTACATTCGGTGGGGTCAGGCTCCAAATTCCTCAATAGGACACCCATAGCACAAAAGTTAATAACTAGAATCAACAAATGGGACTTACTCAAACTAAAAAGTTTTTTCTCAGCTAAAGAAACAATAAGAGAGGTAAATAGAGAGCCTACATCCTGGGAACAAATCTTTACTCCTCACACTTCAGATAGAGCCCTAATATCCAGAGTATACAAAGAACTCCAAAAATTAGACAATAAGATAACAAACAACCCAATCAACAAATGGGCCAAAGACCTGAATAGACACTTCTCAGAGGAGGACATACAATCAATCAACAAGTACATGAAAAAATGCTCACCATCTCTAGCTGTCAGAGAAATGCAAATCAAAACCACCCTAAGTACCATCTCACTCCAGTAAGATTGGCAGCCATAATGAAGTCAAACAACAACAAGTGCTGGCGAGGATGTGGGGAAAAGGGTACACTTGTACATTGCTGTTGGGACTGCAAATTGGTGCAGCCAATTTGGAAAGCAGTATGGAGATTTCTGGGAAAGCTGGGAATGGAGCCACCATTTGACCCAGCTATTCCCCTTCTTGGTCTATTCCCTAAAGACCTAAAAAGAGCATGCTACAGGACACTGCTACATCGATGTTCATAGCAGCTCAATTCACAATAGCAAGACTGTGGAACCAACCCAGATGCCCTTCAATAGACGAATGGATTAAAAAAATGTGGCATTTATACACAATGGAGTATTACTCTGCATTAAAAAATGACAAAATCAGAATTTGCAGGGAAATGGATGGCATTAGAGCAGATTATGCTAAGTGAACTAGCCAATCCCTAAAAAACAAATGCCAAATATCTTCTTTGATATAAGGAGAGTAACTAAGAACAGAGCAGGGACGAAGAGCATGAGAAGAAGATTAACATTAAACAGAGATGAGAGGTGGGAGGGAAAGGGAGAGAAAAGGGAAATTGCATGGAAATGGAAGGAGACCCTCAGGGTTATACAAAAGAACATACAAGAGGAAATGAGGGGAAGGGAAAAATAATACAAGGGGGAGAAATGAAGGACAGTAGAGGGGGTAGAGAGAGAAGAGGGGAGGGGAGGGGAGGGGAGGGGGGATAGTAGAGGATAGGAAAGGTAGCAGAACACAACAGACACTAGTATGGCAATATGTAAATCAATGGATGTGTAATTGATGTGATTCTGCAATCTGTATATGGGCTAAAAATGGGAGTTCATAACCCACTTGAAGCAAAGTGTGAAATATGATATATCAAGAACTATGTAATGTTTTGAACAACCAACAATAAAAAATAAAATTAAAAGAAAAATAACCAAGCTGCCACGAGGCACTTGTAGGTTCAAACAGGAACTACTTTATTGCCCGAACTCCACGTGCACTCCCCGGGGTCTCTCCCAGCTCTCCTCGGGGCTCCCTGAGAACTCAACGGGAACTCTGCGAGAACTTAACGGGAATGCAATGGGAACTCAGAGAGAACTCAAAAGTAGTGGGCGCCTGAGGCAGCAGGAGTCGCCCTATTGCCAGACAGCAGGGGTCTATATACAATTGAATACACAGCCTGTTTCTATCCAGCATCATCCAGTCACAGCAATTATACACAGCTTAACTTAATCATCATCATCTTAATGGCTCGCTGGCGTCACCTCTCAACCATTCCTTCTGGCAAAATGCCAGGCACCATCCCAACTCAGCTGTGGCTCTCAACAAATACCCTGGTCTCTAAGGAGAGAGAGGCACACAGAGAGAGTTCAATGGAGTATTCATATGTGATGGGTTCAGGTGTAATTGTTTAATAACAAATTGTAATTGTAATTGTTGACTCCAAATTTTATATTTATGTTTTTAATGAATAGCTACATTAAAGCACTTTTTAAAATTGTGGTGAATACCTCTGATAGGGAGCGACCAATGCCAAGAGTCCTGAATTTCACAAGTTTAAGTTCCATCCCTACAACTTTATAGATGTGACACTCAGCAGGTGATTTAATATCTATAGTCTTCATGTTTCCATCCGTGATCTGAAAACAAAACCTTTCATTGGTAGTATCATGATACAATTCATCCATAAGTGATAAGTAGACAGCTCAAAGCAGAAAATAAGTTGTTAAATTATTATTATTGTATTAACATAATTGATGAAATAATAAATACAACCTAAATGATTAATAAATTATAAAGGTTTCTAATGTGTGTTTCTGCTGTGAACTTATGGCTTTTCCTCATGTCATGTGCTTGGAGTAGTTACATTCTAGTATATCTTTCCTTCAGTTTATCAGACACTCTAGTCACAAAAATGGGAGTGCATGAAAGCAGAGCTTTCCTTGACCAGACATTTATCTTCAATGGAACCAAGTCAGTTTAATTCATATATTTAGGGAGCATGAGTGGTGACCTGCCATGAGTGAAATTCTATGATGGATGCCGCATTTAGAGACTTGAAGCTGCTTCCTGCTTTTGAAAAGCTTATGTTTGTGAGAGCAAATTAAGTTAAAGTCAAGAGACAATGCAGGACACAGCCAACTCTCTTACCCCATGGTGGCTGGTTAAATGCAAAGTAACCTAATGTTTATGATGACTCTATCAGAACCAGCCTTTTATATGAGCTGTGGTGGGGGGAAGAGACAATGGTAGGAATAATCATGAGAAATAAGGGAATAAAGAGGGAAGATAGTCATAACAAAAATTAAAAGGGAAAGAGGAGAAAGTAAAAATAAAAAGTGAAGGAAAGGAGGGAGACAGGGATGAAGGAAGGAAGAAAGGAAAGAAGGAAACAAACTACAGACATCAGAAGAGGCAGATGGTTGTAAGCTGTGGCCCAGATAGCCAATAGTGGCAGTTTTGTAGAGTTCAGTGGAGAGAATGGACTCTCCACACTTGGGTCATGGAATAAAACTTCTCAAAGATAAGCTTTTAAGGATGAGACAGGCACAGGTTCAAAAACTGTATGTATGTATAGAAATATCACATTGTAGTTCATAAATATGTTCATTTGTTGTGTGTCAATTGACAACATTAAAAAAGACAGAGAGAGAGAATTGAGGGCACTGGCAATACTGCTGATTTCATCCAGTGAACTCATCCAGTGCTGGGGCCCAGGTGTGTGCTTGGCTCAGCCTCCATGGAATAGGGGGCTCTGGACATGCCTGATACCAAGGGAGCTCTTCCAAGTTTGATGGATAGAGCTCCAAAGCCTCAGGTTTTTGATCAGGCTAAGCAATGTCACTGGTCTGGGAAAAGGGCAAATGATTCACTCAGATACAGACAGTGCACATATAAACTGTGTTGCATGGTACAGGATGCCAGAAAACAAAACCCAAATACTCATCTGAGGAATTGATGCTTATTTGTTTTGAAAATTGCCTGAAACCTGATACGATTGATGTGAAGTTTTTATGTTCCTGGAAGGCATGGCCTGATCAGCTTGTGTTTCCATGAATGCATGGGAGAGGGAAGGTGTTTGGAGGGAGGGATCCAGTTCCTGACCATTTCCACTGAGTACAGGAAGCCTGTGTGTGTCAGGCACACCTAGACAAGTACACCAATCATTGTCATTCTCTTGTCACTTCAGAGAACATTGCCTGGTTGAGATGAGATCTAGGTTAGACTATGATAAAGGTCAGATGACGGTAAAATTACAAAAGTAGTTCATTCTGGGGCTGAAAAACTAGGTGGTCAATCATACACGTCAGGTAGGAAAATTAATGAATGCATAATTTGATTGTGTACTGAGTGTCCCAGGTAGTGCTTCAATTTTTTTCTAAAATTGTTACCAGTAGATTACCTCATCAAAAGAAGGGGACTCACTATATGTGATTTTCAGGCCCAAGGGCAAACAAACTGAGTGAATGCAACATTTTCAAAACCCCCCCACCCCAAATCCCTATTCTGTTTTTTATAATTATGTGCTTTGTACTATTACCCATACCCAATTATATTCTCTTCTACTTGTTGGAATTCTTCCATTAAGAAACTCTTCTATTTTAAAATGTATATTGTAGTATTTTATCCGTTTTATACAATATTCACTTTTGTGTGGATATATTCTATTTAACTAAAAAAGATTCACGTATTTTTTATTACTTTTTATTCATTTGTATGTTTCTATGATCTTTTTATACACATTTCACCTGCCTCTTCCAGATCCAGCATATTATCCTCTGATGGGACTATGACAGTTTGCCTCACTCCACTGTACATCCACCCATGGACAGTCAGATTGCCACTTGGTGGCCATCATCAAATATAATAGTCACTTACAGAATTCGGAGAGAATTTGTCTAGGACAGATACCCAAGAATACAACTATACCATGGAAAATGCATAACCCAAAAGTTACTGAGCATTGCCAGATAGTTCTTTAGGATAGCTGCTACATTTATATTTCAACAAGAGTGCAGGGTTATTCTATGCACAGCTTCTCCTCATACTTGGAATGACACCATATTCTAATACTTTTCTGTGGGCAGCTTGCTTCTGAAGAGGGCAGCTCTTGCAGTAATTTCCATTCAGGGTGTTCTGATTTCTCACACTCTCTCACATTCTCTTTTAGACAGTGATTTTACTCTTTGTGCGTGTTTCACCTTGGAAGTTTGTGGGTTTTCCTTTTTCTAAGTGTTCTTCCATCCAAAATACTCACATAAATATCCTTTGTTCTCTTCTATATGTGTTTATTTCATTAACATGGATACAGGGAGACAAGCCAGGATATTTGCCAGTCCTTTCTGGGAACAGGAATAGAGTTGGGCGCCTTAGTCTACCCTGTGGGTAGGGCCTGAGAGTGGTGGTGCTTCATGGGTAGGGAGAGAACGGGGAAAGTAGATCCTGAAACTGAAGACCAAAGAGTTGCTACATAGCTAAATCCAGAAAGGAAGTTTTCCAAGTTAAAGGCTTCAATCTGAACCAGACCCTACTTCCACCCTAATCCCACTTCCACTGTTGCTCAGAATTTGATGCTGACTTTAGGACCATAATTGCACTTGCCTCTTTAGATACCACGCACATGAGCTAAAGTTCTGGACTAGTTTCCCGACCCATGAGAGAGAGAAGAGACCTTCTGTAGGTAGGATGCATAGGTCAGAATCAGCATCTGTCATTCTTCAGTCTAAAGTGGTAGAGGCTGCAGAACTGGTAGATGCCAGAAAGGCCACTCAGAAGGTGCAGGCACCAAGTTCAAGTGTTTTCCCAGGCCAGGTTCACAGGGCTGCCAACTGCTGCATGTCTCGGAGGCTCAGAGCTGTTAAGTAAGTGAGATTTCTGATCCTGCTCGTCACCACCGTCTGCATGAGCAGAATACAGGACACTGGTCAGACAGGACTGCCGGATTCACAGACTTCTTGAGTGCCTTCTCCCCAGTCATGGCTGCTCAGAGGGCCACCAGCCCTCCAAGAGCTCCTTTCACTCCCAGCCTGCATTGGCTTCCTGCTTCCCTCACATGGCTGCTTGCTGGAGCTCCCACCGGTCCAGAAAGGATCTTTCCCGTTGGGTCCTCTGGAGGACCCTCACTGGCGCTCTCCAAGCTACCCATCCACAGCGATATTCCTTTCAAGTCCACAGCGAAATTCTCCAATACACACAACTGTAAAGCAAAACAAACATCATACATTTGGAACCTTCTCTTGGGAACATTGCCGAAACAATCAAATCAATGTTTAATGCAACGATTTGAAGTAGATTTTCTGGATTCTTTTCATGAAATGAATTAAACTGCCATGAGGCCCTTCCTGGAAGCTAAATGCAGAGACGGGGAAGGCACAGGCACAGGCGCAGGTGCAGGTTTGGGCCTTCTTCTCCCACCCCTCTGCCTACTCCTGGTCGTGTGCACCTGCACCTGCGTGCACACCCGTGATGCTGGGTGGACAGTGGCCCTCAGAAAGAAGAATTTGATGGCACCCGTGTTCTACTGGCAGGGTCACATAGTACCTATGTGGCCCTAGCCCTGCTTTTACCTTCATCAGTCCTTTCCTCCATAAGATACCGCAGTCTGGCTGGGCACAAAATCACGAGCCACTCACAGCCTTGTAGATTCAAACAGCAATTCTTTATTCCCGAACTCACACCAGCACTCTACAAACACATTCTGGGCAAATCCACACTTCCACTGGGCTCTACATCCCAAAATACTCTCTGAATCCCGCGAGAACTCAATGGGAACTCAAGGAGCGGGCAGGCGCTTGAAGCAGCAGGATACGCCCTATTCCCAGCAGGGTCTACCTTAAACCTGGAACCACCCTAAACCCAAGGAGCGGGATACTCCCTATTCCCAGCAGGATACACCCTAATCCAGGATCCACCCTGGTCCTTGAGCAGGGTCACCTTACTCAAACATACATGCAATGTCACTGCAAATGACCTGGGTCCAAAGGAGAGTCCTTCCTCTAAGCAACATGGAGTAGGCTGACAAAGAAATTGCGATGCGTCATTCCTACTTGGCAATGGCTCTCAGCAATAAGAGAAAAATCACATCTTATGGTTGTGTTGGTTTAAAGGCAATGCTAAACTTTTATATCATATGAAACATTTTATTTGAACTTGGAGTTTTTGTTTTTTCCCATTTTATTTTTACCCCTCCCCTCTTTGTGCCTTTTGAAAGAAATTATATTTATTTGCGTGTGGCTTCAAAAGTACTGCGAGGCCCCAACTAGACTCTGGTGGATGAGTCGGTTCTGGTTGGTCACCTATTCATTCCAGGCTGAAGCAAGGTGAATTCTAAAGCCTCTCAAATGGGCTCTCCTCCACGCAGCTTTGACACAGTTTCTGCCATGAGGGTGATGAGGCAAGGATTCCATAACTGCCAAGCAGTTAAGTTTGTACTTTCTCTCTCTCTCTTTTTTTTTTTTTTTGCTTTAAACCCTGAGCTTTTGGCTCTTGATTTAAGCTCTTACCCTGAGTCCCTAGGACTCTCCAGTGCAGGCTTGCATCTTGAGCCTCATTCAGCATAAGGAGGAACACATGTGGCAGGAGTTCACATTTGGTGGACCCTTTTATTGGGCAGGCCACAGAAAAAGTCAGGAAGCAAAGTGAAAAAGAAACTTGTCACATACTGTCTGAACAAACACAGAAGTGTTACTGGAACATCCTATCTCCAGCTAAGGGTCTCTGGGGAAAATGGTGAGGATCCCAGAGGCCAAAGGTGGGTGGCTGAGGCAGGTGGGCTTGTGGCCTGGTCCCCAAAGTGCCTGAGTATCTGTCTTGGGGGGGCTGGAGGGTGAACTAGTGCTTCTGGGAACTAGTGCTTCTCACATTCTGAGAAGCTATTGAGGAGCTGTATATTTTCAAAACATTCATGCATATAAAACAAGTGAAACTATGAGATACATACCATTGTTTCACTACCTTGCCATCACTTAATAAGTTGCAACCATATTGTGATATTTTGTTCACCAATTTCATATGTCCTGATTTGGATTCATAATATTTTATTTCTAATGGCTTATTGCCAGCTATTGCCCAATTTAAATGTTTGGATTGTGATCATCTTTAGCTTGTAGGGGTTGCTGTGTGTGTGTATGTGTGTGTGTGTGTGAGAGAGAGAGAGAGCACTAGAGAGACAGAAAGATGTACACTGACCAAAAAGTTAACATTTGGGCTTGAAGTATAGACGTATTCTAAATTTAGGTTGCTTCCTTACATTTCCCTTTAAAATACTACACCCACTGCCATCCTACTTATGTTATCAAAGTGTAGTTTGCTCTACTAAATGGGGATAAATCATTAAAACAAACTAGAATATATTCTAAAGCTTTTCTTTGTAATTTTTAAATAGATTTTATGCATATTGTTCAGTCTCTTTCAAACTGTAAAATTCTGTCTGAGAAAAGGTCTACTTAGTTATAGACAAAGTAAAACAAGTACAATTTTTCCTCAGTGTTTGTAAATGTAGCCTCTGTCACGTGAGTTGTTCCTTGGTAAGTTTTCTTCCCTTCCCTTTGCCAAGAACTCTAAATTCTAAAGAAAGATTGCACCTAACTTACCACTATGTTCACTGCTACGTAGCCTTTCTTTAGATTGACGAACCTAGATCATTTGGTGACCTTCAGATTACATCAGAATATGGAATGCACCTCCTAAATCTTCACTTCTGTGCATCACAAAACATGTAAATTGCTGTGAGATCTAACTTGCAGAAAAGTAATCAGTGTGGCTAAAGAAATATAAGAACTATTCCCAGGAGGTTCATGTTGGTTGGAACGTTCTGAGGAGGGAAAACTCTGAAGCAGACAGATGCCCTGAATGAAGATCACCCCCATCACACCTTCTTCCTGCCCATTGCTCACTACACCTCATTTCTCTCCCTTTACAACCCCATTCATGCACCTGAGTTCCCTGAGGTGGTCTTTCTGGGAATGATGTCCACACCCTAACTTCTCAGGTGCCAACCCTTGAGTAAACCTGATTGTTTCTGAACTCTTGATTTCCAAGTATTTGCTTACCCGGGGTGAGTACATGGATTTGGTTGTGGTAACACATTCACCTTTTAACAATTTGAGTTCACTGGGGACCTGTATCTGCATCCTTCTCATGCCATACACTCACTTCTGAAGGGCCCATCTAGTCCCTTGTCCTGAAATACCAAGCAGAAGAGTAAATCTATCCCCCACAAGAATCTATTTCCCCAACTCAAGCTCTGATACTCCAAAAATGGATTCCTTTTTCTGTACTGAACACCAGCACTGGATGCACTCAGACAACTCAACACTAAGCCTACCCTCCGTGTGGATTCCCTGTGTTGAATAATGATACCCAGAAACGTTAACAGTAACTCAGAAATCTAGGATGAATGTTCCCTCCCTCCCTCTCTCATTCTTTTTTTATTGGCATCCTTTTTCCTATTCTCCCTTTGAACTTCCCACCTCCTTCACCATAATCCTAACTCTAATTCTATCCAGAGACTGAACCCTTCATGCCATATTACTTATCACTAGTTTTTTAAAAAATGAGATATTACAAATTTCAAGACAGGGCATGGAAAGAGAAAGAGAGAGGGGGAGAGAGAGAGAGAGAGAGAGAGAGAGAGAGAGAGAGAGAGAGATTGATTTTCAATGAGTTCACTGCTTAGGGTCAGACTAACAGATATGTCCCACATTCCTGAATATATTTTGAAATTTTCACTTATAACCGCATCTGGCAGTTTACCAGAGCCACCACATCTAGCTTATGTGTGAACTTTCTGGACTATGAACATTGACCAATCCAGAAGCAACAAGTGAACTGTCCCACTAGTCCCCAAATTCCCCCATTTTCCATTGTAATGCCTCTCTTATCTATAGCCAATGTAAGCTAAATTTAAAATGATTTATGCTTTCCTTCCTCACATTTTCATGATAAGAATACTTTTGGCTCTTAGGCCTGGTATATATATTTCCAGCCACACTCTACCCTTGCTGCTGGTAGTTGTGGAACTTACCTTAGGACCTTCCCCTTTTCTGGCTAGCATCTGGCATGGCCCAATGTGGACAGTGATTTCAGGGAACCCTCAGTTTAGAGAGGTTTTTTTTTAATATCACTCTCTATGTAGGCATTCCCCTTTCTAGGGGGAATGATGTTAGCATTCACTGTCCACAGCACATGTTCCTCACTAAGACTCACACCAAAGTTTGGTGAAAGAAGAAATTCTCACTAGGTTCTTAGTGGTTCACATTAATGCTGCAACATTCACGGACTCAAGATGCCTTGTGTAATCTGAACTCAACTAGGCCCAGGTTCATGCTGTCCCTATGCACTGCTGCTTTCCTTTCATAGGAGAGACACACAGTTTTAACCCAGAGATGGGTGAGCTCCTGGAATCAGTAACTGAATACAGCCCTAGATTATTAGAAACAACTGTACCCAAAATAAAAGTAGCACCAAGAAGCAGATACTATGTGGAAGGATCAGGAAGAAATCTTCCATAAGTATATTGGGAGTGCCACTCAGGGAGCTCCTCTTCACTCTGCAGGGATTAGAGAACCAGGGTGCTTAAAATCCCTCCATCTCTTCTAGAGAGCATCTCAAAGCAAAGTCCTTTGAGCTGCAACAAGGATGCAAAACTGACACTAAATGGCCAGGGGAAAGGGTGAATTGTCAATCCAGGAGACCAATGGGAAATGCTCTCTTTTTGGCTGATAGAATAAGGTGACACAGTGGCATTCTCCGAAGGCAGCAGGAAGAATTGTGCACTTTCTATCTCAGTGTTACTGACCCTGGGGAATGTTCTCTTTTACTTGCTGCTCATTGGTCACCATGGTCTTTGTTTTCACCTGAACTACCAGGCCCAGGGGTGATCACTATTACCTCAGTATTGAGCCTCAAATTGATATTTGAAAGAAGGAGGTGGAGATCCTTGCTATGGTTTGAAGGTATCTCTGAAAGCTAATTCATAGGAATCTGAATCCCCCATGCAACAGTATTGGAAGGTGGGGCCTTAAAAACGTGATTAGGCCAGCAGGGCTCTGCCTCCATGAGTGGCTTCAGTGCCCTTTACAAAAGGGCTTTCAGTAGTGGGCCCTTGCACACTTGTTCCTGTGCCTTTCCATCATAAGACAAGGTAGCACAAAGGTCCTTGGCAGTCGCCTGCACCATGTTCTTTTACCTCCCTGACTCCAGAACCCATAGAAAATGTGTTTATTTTCTTAATAAATTGCCTGGTTCCTGAGATTCTATTATAGAGACAGGAACCAAATTAAAACAATTGTTGTAATTAGGAGTTTTCCTAATGAAGAGGATTATGAAAGAAGGTCAGGATATGCCACCCTCAATATATGCCACTTTGGCATAAGAATTACCTTGAACTAAAGGCATTTGAATTTCTGAAATCTCTTTTTATACCTAAAAGTAGGGCTTTACCAAATAACTTCATCATCATTAGTACTCACCCCAGGAACAATTACATCTCCCTCTGATGAGAGAATTTGCCACCACACTCAAACAGACATTCTCTACAAACTATCCTAACTCCCTATTAAGGTGGTTGTAAGTTCTCCAATTTCACCACTCCTTTGGAGTAATTAGTTCTTTCTGTGATGCCTCCATACACACAAAACTTAAAATTCATAAATCTGTTATGCCTTTGGTCCTGTTCAGCTGTTTCCAAATTAATTCACAGTCCCAACGATGGCCATTGAATCTACCAAGGCAGCTGAAAAGCTTTTCTTCATTTTCCTGGAAAGCACGGACATGTATTATTACTATCTAAAACATTACAGCATAGCTTCTGAGCCATGTCCACACTTCCCACAAGGCTCACCTGTGCACACTGCTGTGGTTCCAAACTTCCTTTCTGCATTTTTGTTTCAAATGTTAGAGAACATCTGTTGTGTGTCACCTTCTTTCAGTCAATAGTATCTAACAAGTCTTGTTATTGTGCTGCGTATCTTGGTTTGGTGAAGCTTTCCTTAATGAAATTTTACAAACATATCTGTCTCTGTTTACATTTTGTTTCCTCTTTCCAGTGACAAACGAGGACAGACACTGTGAAAAGCTCCATGGCACATGTTTTTCTGTGCCCTACAATTGGCCCTGGGGAGTTGAACCATGGCCTGGCACCTACATAAAGCTGACATTGCCAGCCTGCCCAGAATGTAGCCAAATTCAGACTGCAAAAGACTTAGGGTCTCCTCTTGAGAAATATGCCCTTCCCATGACCAGTCTCTGGCCATTTTCACTGGCACACACCACACTGGAATTAGACTGAATTTCAAGGCCTGAAGTAGCTCTGATGCACACTCACTCCTTCAGGGGAGTAATTCCTACCAAACTCCTCTTTAGATTCCTAAACTGGAGTTGGTCACCCTTAACACCAGAGGTGCTAATTCCAACATTTCTGCTAAGATGCAAGGCTAAGGTGGAGGGGATATGTTGGGGGTTTAGCTCAGTGCTATAGCACTTGCCCAGCATGCCTCAAGTACCTAGGTTCAATCTGCAGTACTGCACAGTGTGAATGAATGAAGTAGGCAAGGGGTGGGTGAGTGAGTAATAGGACTGATGGGCCTCCAGTTTTGCTTTAAACAAACAGCTCTCTGCCCTGGCCTCTTGGTCCTGAAAAGGTGGCTGTAACTTTTCCTGTGGGGAAAAGGCACTTCCTCCTCCATTCTCCAGACCCACAGCAAAGGAGGCAATGGGAGATGCTTCAAGTACCAGAGAGGGTTTTGGCTAGGGGAGGAAATGGTAGGATAGTGGGGGAAGACTGTAGTAGCCAGCTTGAGAGTAGGTGAGATAAGAGTCCAAAAGGGGTCCCTTTACCTCTCTGGGACACCTGTCCCCTCCTGCAAAAACCCCGGGTTCATTTAGGAAGAGGATGGAATTGATTTGATGGGACCAACCAGAGGAGTGTGGAAGATCTTAAGGGCTGCTGGAGATGCACATTGGTGTAGTCTGCAGTCTCTGTGGGGTATCCCTTCCAGTAGTGCAGAAGCATAACAAGTCGTGGGACAGAGCAATTTTCTTCTATGCAGTAGCGCCTCCATACTTTCTAGCAAAAAGTAATTGAGAGGCATCAGTCTTACTTGAAAAGTGAGTGGAAAGGGAGGATTCAAGTGTTTGAAACTTTGCCACCATTGCAACATCTCAAGATGGAGAAGCCGTCAATGACTCATTTAAAACGTTAATTTGACAGAACCCCAGCTAAGTAATTCCGTAGCCCTAGTTTGAAGGTTTGGGGGCAGAGTTTCCTTTCGCAAAGAAATGGGTTTCTCTGACTCACCTTAAAAGCTCTGAGGTGTCTATAAAAGGAGAGGGGCCCAGACCAAGACCCGAGGGGTGGCATGCAAGGAGGGCCCAGCACTGGTTCCTGCTAGCAGAGCTGCTGGTGTCCCGGATACCTTACTTTTCCCTTAGACCAGCCGGATCCGTTCCCGCCTCAGGGGCTACTCAGCCTGCTCTCACCACGTGCGGCCCTCTGGGTTAGTTGCTGGCGACTTCAGTAATTGGGGGCCCGTACTTGGCCAAGAAAAAGAAAGGTTTTGTTATATCGGAAGCGCGGGTTTGGGGACAGCCAGTGGGAGTGGAAATATCACTAGCCGCATTGACTCACCGACATTGCTGCTACCAGCTGGCGTAGATTTACTTGCTGCACCGCTGAAGGAGCCAGAAGCGATGCCTTTGGCCTCAGCAAAGCCATAAGCTGGGGTTGACTTTTGTAGGCAGGGTCCAGTGACGCCAGCACCTGAAATCGCAGTTCACTAGCGCCGCACCCTAAAGAGAAGGAGCCTGCTTTTTCTCCTTAGCACTGCCTTTAGTTGAGCAGAGAGAACCTTTCTCCGCGTTCTGGACGGTCCCTTTCTCCTTCTCAGGCCAGTTGGTGCAGCCTTTCCCGGTCACCTTTCCCGGTGTTCCCATTTGCTCTCTGACCAGCAGCGCGTCCCTGACAGTTTTCCTGTCACAGCACATATGTGCACCAAGCCTGGGTGGCGGTAAGCCTCCTTTCTTTGAGTCGCCAGATTCTAGGTTAACAGCACCCATGGTTGGCGCCAAAGTGGAAGTTTGTGGCTGGCAGCAGTGGTAGTTGAGGTCCTTTGCGGATTCCCAGCAAGCCATTCTCTCCGCCCACTTTCTCTTGGTCTCGGCTCAGCTAGTTGTTCTGTGCGCGGGTTTTCTCGGTGGCACCGCCGAATACACAGCTCTGATGGGTTCTAACGTGCAGTTTCCGCGGTTGCCCAGAACACAGTTCCTTAGTGGCAGCCAGGCTGGCAGGGCCGCGTCGCCTCTGTTCCGGAGTCCTTCGGCTGTAGCGGCGCCTGAGCTTTTTCTTTCCCAGCGCAGTCTTCCTGGCGCCCTCCTCTCCTTTGCCGCCAAAGAACCTAGTTTTGTTTCAGTGCCCTCCGCGCCTCTGTCGCAGGATCCCTGGCCTCCCTGCGATATGCGTTTATTGGCTTAGCAAGCTTCCATTTGGAGGTGCCTGTGATTTCCATTCCTTGTCTGCCCAAGTACCAGAAGTGTCCTGATTGGAGGCGAAGCTAGAAGCCGAATGGCGACCCGACTTGGGTTTCCTGGTCCTTGGAGTCCCCTTTTGTCCACGGCCAGTTAGGACTTAACACTGGAGCGATCGCTTCGTCGGAGCAAGTCCGGGATTGGCCATTTCTTAGTGTTTATTCCAGCCTCCGATTTTTAGTCGTAAGAACTCGGGTGTAGCAGCAGCGCCTGCCATTTAAGTGCAAGCATGTTCCGGATTCGTGAGAGCAAACTCCATTTCAGCTTTGTGGGTGATGGTTATGTCGGGTACAAACCGTGGGTACTGGAGAATGCCATTTTTCTGAAAGGCCAGTTCAACAATTGCCACTTTAACACTATCCGCATTTTCTTTTACCTAAGAAGTTTTGTTTTGCAATGGAGAGTCCGGCTTTGACTATGTTTGGGGTTTGCACCTCCCAGGGAAATGCGACGTGGCCGCCAAAGCCATTTCTCTGTCGCGCCAGTTCCGTTACCTCCTTATCCAACCACAGCCTGCAGCTGCCTGTGAATTTTCACTCACTTAGAACTCAGGGAACAATGGCTATTGAGACTTGAAGGGGTCACCAATACCGGTGTCTTCTGAATCTTGGAAAATTTAGGTTTAGGCGGAAAAGGTCTCCATTACATCCCAATCCAAGATCACACTCTGCAGTTTCCTTGTAGGGCTCTTTTTTTTGTGTACTTCAAAGAAATTCTTCCTTTGGTTTAGCTCTAGGCCAGCACAGGCTTCATAAATGAAGGTTCTGAGACATGAGAAATCCTCAGGGAGTTTGAATTAAAGAGACAGGCTCTAATTACCTTTAAACCAGCTCCAGTAGGCTTCTCCTAGCTCCAGCCTCCAGCCACCTATTATGGTAGCAAGGTTTACTGAAGAGGCGAGAGAGAGAACCCGCCAGGGAGTGGACTTTTATTGGGGAACAAAAAATTCTGGGGGAAATCCCATCCAATGAATATTAAGGGGGGCAATGTCTCAAGATCAGGTGCTACGATTGGGTCTTCAGGGTAGTGGCCAGACACACCTCCACACGGACAAGCCCTCGGACCTGAGAAGGATGGGGAAAGCTCTGGACACAAAGATGTGTCTAAGCACCTCTCGCCCAGCCAGGGGGGTAACTCAAATCACATGCGAGGATGGCCTCCCACGCTTTGGTATATTTTGCTGTGCGTTTTGTATTGTTTTCATGTATGCTGAGGGCCATTGCTAAGTAAGAATGACGCATGGCATGACCCAGGTCATTTGCAGTGTCATTGCATGTAAGGTGACCTTGCTCAAGGACCAGGGCTGATCCGGGTTTAGGGCGGTTCCAGGTTTAAAGTGTACCCTGCTGGGAATAGGGCATATCCTGCTGCCTCAGGCGCGCCTGCTCTTGAGTTCCCGTTGAGTTCCCGTGGGATTCAGAGAGTATTTTGGGATTTTGCCCAGAATGTGATTTGGGCCCAGAACGTGAATTCCCCAAGAACATGTGTAGAGTGCCGGTGTGAGTTCGGGAATAAAGAATTGCTGTTTGAATCTACAAGGCTGTGAGTGGCTCCTGATTTTGTGCCCAGCTAGACTGCGGCACATGTAGGCTTTTAATAATTTTATTACTTGTTGTACTTACGTAAATGTTATGCTTTTCCTAGGGATTCCCTTGGTGTTGCCCCTGAGCTTTCTGCCTCCTGACTTGTCCCTCGGGAGCCCATGTTACTGTTTAGGTGTGCTGTGCCCCAAAAGCTCACGCATGAAACAATGCAAGGTTTGGAGGAGAAATGATTTGGCTTAATTAGCCTTAATTTAATCGGTAAATGAATCCCTGACGGGATTGACTGAGTGGTAACTGGAGGCCGGTGGGGTGTGGCCAGAGGAAGCCATTCCCTGGGGGCGTGGGTATGGATACACATTGCTATTGGCTGGTGGAGTCTCTCTGTCTGCTTTCTGACCACCAAATGAGCTGCTTCCCTCTGCTTCCATGAAGTTCTGCCTCACCCCGACCCCAGAGGAATGGAGGCCGCCTTCTATGGACTAAGACATCTGAAACTATGCGCTTTTAAATAAACTTTCCCTCCTCTATAATTGTGCTGGTTGAGTCCCTTTAGTCACAGTAGTGAAGAAAGCTGACTAAAACAGCCGGGAAGCAGGGCTGCTCCTCAGCAAGGCTGGTGGAAGGTCGAGTTCTGGCTGCTGGCACCTCTCCTAGCCCTATAGGGAGCAGGGGTTTCTCACCAGCCCTTGGGGCAGCAGCGCCCAGCGGATTTCCAGGTTCCTTCTCCACTCCAAGAGACCTGAGACTGTGTCTCCCTCTGGAGACCTGCTGGGTCCCTGTGCAGGAGCTTTCTCCTGTGGTTCGGTTACCCTTCCCCCGTGAAAACTCACAGGCGGTGAAAATACAACCTGTGACAGAAAAACCAAGGCCCAGCCCTCTCAGTGAACACCTACTGGATGAAAAAATAGCCCTGGGAAGCACCTGAGGTGCCACCTCAGGCCTCCTGGGTCTTGTGTGAACTAGGGTCAAATCATGTGTTGGTATGGGTCTTCCCTCTCTTTGGACAGTCTCTTTTGCTTCCCTAACAACCAGAGAGGAGCCAGCCAACAAGGACTTGTAGCAGATCAGTGGTATCCCAAGTTTCTGGCTTAGGGACTCCAGCCTGAGAGAGTACAAAGCACACCTGCCCAGGGTCCCTCCCACACAGTCCTCAGGTGTGGCCTTCCAGCTGAACAAGGTCCCCCACCAGAATCTAGCAAGTCTTCTTCAAAGTCCCTGTGTTGAGAGTGATGAAGCAATAATGGATACTTGCCCAGCTTTAAGTGGCAGATCCACTGCAGCTCCATGGGATGCAAATCATGACGGTTCTATACTTGTATACGTGTACTTCTGCATAAAACAGGACAGTGCCCAGTAACCAATCATTCTTATGCATGTACACATAAGCTGGGATTTTAAAACAATAGCCTTGACTTAACCCCATCAAATTTGGCTGCCAAACGAGCTTCACAGTCAAATATATGCTCCAAATATTAGGTAAAAACATTTTTGGATTATTGTATTGTTAATAAACAATTGTTGAACTGTACTCCAAATTCTTCCTTTCAAGAGCGCCTATGGGAGCTGGGCGCAGTGGTGTATGCCTGTAATCCCAGAGGCTCAGGAGACTGAGGCAGGAGGATAAAGAGTTCAAAGCCAGTCTCAGCAACTTAGCCAGGAACTAAACAACTCAGTGAGACCCTGTCTCTAAATAAAATACAAAAAGGTGTGGGTGGGGGAGGGGCTGCTGGGGATGTGGCTAAGTGCTCCTGAGTTCAATCCCCAGAACCAAACAAAAAGAGAGAGCCTATGGGGCCTGCCATTCTCTTGGTGAAGGCAAAAAATATTACATGAATCCTCCACCTTCCAGTGAGAGGTCTTATTGATGTCAACACCAGAAATAGTTGAGGAGGAAAGTGAGAAATAATTTTGAGGAAATAATTCCTTTTCATTGCTTACTGATAATCTTACCTATCTGTACTTTCTGAGAAATAAAGTGCAAAAAAGTAAACTAATGTCTTTAAATAATGGCATTTCAGTGTCCACAATATACATCTGTGTCATCACTTCCTAGGCTAGGTGTTCTTTGGACAAACTCACTAAAATATTCCCTGGAATACAGAAAACGCAAAGTTATCCTTCAATGGAGTGCAACACATGGAGAAAAGTAGTACTTTGCAATTCACAACAGGGATGTATATGGTTCTTCAATAATGGAATCCACATCAACAGAGGCAACACAGAGAAGTGTAATTGCAAATGGAGAAGAGGATGTGCTGGACACTGGGTCTATCTAAATGCCCTGACATTTTGCAGCAGTCCCAAAGGAAGGATCATCATCTCTGTGATTTTCACTTCCTAATATCTTTGATATTGTGCTGATCATCTATTTTATGTCAGTTGCTTCTCAGAATGCAGTGGGTGCTCTCAATTCCATTCCCTCTTGACCCTATTGACAGGTTCTGGCACCTTAGCCAATTAATGGATTTAGGGATTCCAAGCAAGATCCTGACCGGTAGTAGCTCAGTGTCATAGCGCCCCCCGATTTCAATTCCCACTACTAGGAGGGGCTGGGGGAAACTGCACTCTTATGACCTGATGGCAGGTTGTCCTGCTTTCAGGCTTGCTATGGTTTAGATATTAGTTGTCCCCACCCTAAAGCTCATGGGTGAAAAAATGCAAGAAAGTTTGGAGATGAAATGACTGGATTATGCAGATCTTAACCTAATCAATGCATCAACCCTCTGATTATTAATTGGGGGTAACTATAGGCAGGTAGGGTGTGGATGAAGGAGGTGGGTCCCTGGGAGCTGCCTTTGGTATATATTTTGTCCTTGTTAAGTGGAGCTAATTTGTGCTCTCCCTCCCCCCATCCACCCCTGCTGTCATTCCTTTCTGGTTCAATGACCTGAGCTGCTTTTCTCCACCACACATGGTGTTCTGCCCCACCTTGGGCCCAGAGCAACAGAACAATGGAGTTGGTCACCTGTGGACTGACATCTCTGAAACCAAAAGCCCCCAAATAAACATTTTCTCCTCTAATTGTTCTTCTCAGATCTTTTTATCACAGCAGTGAAAAAGCTGATAAAACAAAGCCAGGGCCTGGCACAGTGGTGGCACATGCTCAGCTCAGCTCAGGAGGCTGAGGCAAGAGGATCAAGAGTTCAAAGCCAACCTCAGCAAATTAGCCAGGAACTAAGCAACTCAGTGAGACCCTGTCTCTAAATAAAATAGAAAATAGTGCTGGCGATGTGGCTCAGTGGTCGAGTGCCTCTGAGTAAATCTCTGGTACAAAAAAAAAAAAAAAAATGGAGCCAGACTGCCACAACTGTCTACCTCAGCCCTGTTTTCACAGGTGAGCTGGATTGGTAGAGCAGGATTCCCAAACTGGGAACTCAGAATAGAAAGGGCATTTTGTTGTGGGAATTTGTCTGCACCCAAGGGCCAGAGACTATACATCTCTAGAACCCAATGTTTGGAGGTGTATTTAGAGAAGAGAGATGCTGGAGGCCTCAGAGCAACTTGAGTTCACATGTGGCCCCCTGAGACAGACTCAGAGGGAAGAAGTCCCAGGAAGATCCAGCAGGATTATTTCCAGGCTAATTTCTCTGGGTAGCCACCTTTCTGCTGGAAGGCCAAATGTGTGTAAATAAAAGGATGTCTATAGCCCTAGCCACCTTCTTCTAAGAAGGCACAAGGCACTACCAGCCCCATTAGTACAGCAGAGCAAGAGAGGGTCCTGCACCCATTAGATCACAGTATAAAACATAAATTTTTAAGTATCATCAAATAGCAAAAAATTAAATAAATGCAAAGATCTAAGTACTGTGATCAGTCAGGCTTTATTAAGTCAATAG